GCAAAGAATCAGGTCACTGTGCGCATGTGTCATCACTTGCACAACTGTAGTACTGTATGTAAGAGTGAAGTAAAGAGTATGTAAAGCAAAATCATTGCTCATTCAATCCTTGTGCATAATGCTGCAATGAAACCATGGCTATGTCTGGCTGGAAGAGTAGGAAAAATGTAAACCCAGCCGTCACCGGTGCATTGCTAAGGTCATAGTGCAGCATAGTTGAAAACCGTTACACTGGATGTTGCAAAGGGAAAGATGAGGTACTTTTAAGAATGATCCTGCCTGTTCCTTAGCACATCTTGCAGAATCATAAAATTGTGTCCCATTTTAAGTATACAAACTGGCCTATGGCTTTCAGCTGGCTTTTCACCAATCCATACAACCAGTTTATTCTCCAGGACCTGTCAGCATCAAGGCTGAAATGCTCATGTCTCTGTGGCCACCTGCAGCAGGAGGGTACCCCGGCAAAGTGCAGTGTCTGCCTCCATGCTCCCCGCTCCACTACTGCCTCATCCCATCCACAGCCACACTTACACACACGTTACTTCTGGGTATGACTCCCTGCCCACCTCTTTCAGGAGGAATGTCCCACTGAACTGGGATGCACCGGACTGTGCAAAGTTTATAACTGTATCTCCATAGTGAAACACTTGCATAATGTGCTTGACGTGGTAGAAGAAGTATGCTAATGCCTCAGCAACCTGAGCTGCACTTGTTCAGAGAACCTAGCTGGAAATCAGCGAGCGGTGGTAGGAGTTGTTTAATCTGATTTTTGCAATTCATAACTAGAGCAAACAGGCTTGACCTTTAGGTGATAATAAGACGCATTGTCAGAGCTGTATCTTACTTTTGAGTCCTTTGTGGATTACATCAAATTATTGACCTTAAAAAGGGTTGAGATGTGTAAAAAGGGTTGAGATGTGTCCTTTTCCTAAGATGTTACTTTTCCCCATATCTTTCTCCATCTCTTTTCTGCAGTCCCATAAGCTACTCTTAAAAGAGTTCAGAATTAAGTAGCAAAGCTCAGAGTGTTCCTGGTGCCCTGCCTGCAGTGATACTCAGGTGCATTACAAGTGGGAATGGAGAGGAAACTTCTAAGAAATAAGCCCAATTTTTCCATGAAGTGTGTTCCCTCTGTTGCTGGGGTGGAGGTGATAGATTCCTTTCTTCTTCTGTGGACCTAAGCCCTGAGTTTATAATAACAACCGTGCAGGGATACAACATACATACAAATACTGTGTCTTCTTTTACTTTCTCTGTTCTCCCCCACATCCACAGCACACAGACAGCACTGCTTGGCCGTCTACTGGGACTCTTAATTCTCTGTCTCTAAAAGGCTTAATCTTTTCCTAGGGAAAAGGAGGCAAATAGGTAAAAAATGTGGGGATGTATTTGGAAGGGTGATCCCTGTAGGTCTTTCTGCTAGATACAATTCTGCGTGCTACTACAGACTAGTCCATAGCAGCAACTAACAACAGGGACTTCTCTGTATCCCCTTCTGTCTGAACACTAAGTACTAAAAACAGATGCTAATTGTATGGTTCCAGAGAAAAAGAAAAAGAGCATGCTGGGGTGACTCAGGACATATTCCCGCTGTTGTGCAAGGAAAAATGGTATTTAGATATGTGGAGATTTGTCTGTGGTTAACTGTGGCTTGTTGGGGGCAGGAGGAGGTTATGCATGTATATGCAAAAACTCACAAGCACCACCCTGAGCTATTTTAAGTCTTGGAGATGAAACTGGTGATTACCTACTAAGTTGTTAGCAAATGACTATTCAATGCCATGGTGGGACAAGCTGAACTCAGTGACAAATGAAGAATGGGACAATAAACAGAATTTTATGTGTTTCTTTTGAAGCATAAAACTTGCTGCAAATTACATATCGTTAAGCAAAGGCATAAAAACTTATTGGAAAACAGAGGGTGGCAATGCTTAGACAAAAATGTAAATGTGACTCTGGTGCATATATTTTTACCTGAGGGAAATCAATGCCTGTGAAAGCACTCAAGACAAGAATGCCTATGAAAATGAAAACACTCAAGGCAAGAATTTATTACCCTATAATTATATTTTTTATTGTATTCTTGAACATCCAGTCAAGTGATAGGAATGCTGGGCTCTGGATCACAGTCACCCTTCTTTCAGTGCTTGACTATAAGTACTGACAAGGAACTAAGGAGAGCATTTTACAACTTAGACACTTCAGTTTATAATTAGGCACCTAAATAGTTAGCATCATTATCTTAGCTAATAAGCACAGGAATGGAAAACTTCTTTAGAAGAGTTAACTGAAGTTGCTTATTTAGGTGACTTACAAGTACCAAAGCTTGACAATGCTGTCTATAACCTTCTCGTGCCTTCAGTTACTTCGATTGGTGGGCCTGTAAAACTTCACTTGTTACAGGACAACTCACGCTACAGATGTTTTTTGTCACTGTAAAGCTCCACATGTTGGAGTCAGGTTATTAACTGGCAGGTTTTTGTCACTCTGCTGTGACTTATGTCCATAATAGACCTGCAGCAAACATTGGCTCCAAGCAGTTAGCTTCTCCAAACTCTTTTTTAATTATTTTCTTGAATGCTTGAATAACGAAAGTCATCATGGAAGGGTAAGCCTCTTTTCCTTGGCATGGTCCTTCCTTCTCTCACCTGATATAAATTCAGTCTTTAGGGCATCTTCACCTTTTGGACAGGCATAATTCTTTCTCAATAATGCTCTAGGCTGCTAATAAGATTGTTTATACAGACTGGAAGTGGTTAGCAAGAAGAAGACCTATTTTTACATCCACCAAAAATGAAAATTATAGCTCATGACACCGCTTTGCAACCTAAGCCTTTTGATTACGAGGTCTCATTTGTTGCAATGAACTGTCAGGTTCAATGCTGAATGTTACATTATTCTTCAGTTCCAGCCTCCACGCTGCAAAATCCTGAAGTAATCCCCTCAGAGCAGACAGAGCTCTGCTGTCAGGACGAAGTCTGGAGTGAAGTAGAAGCAGCAGTGGTACACTGGAGACAGCTCTCCAGGACTCTGCAGCAGTGGGAAGCACCCTATGTAGGCCAGGACCAGAAAAGCAGCATCAAGCACCCACTTGCAAGTGGTCACTACAGAGCTCCTGATGACAGAAGGCCACAGCTTGCTGGTCTATGGCTCTGCACCCCACAGTGTAACTGTCTGTGGTCGGAAGGAATAACCATGTTGGGCATGAAGAGATGCATTTATTTTCCTATAATGCACTGTCTGTTGGGGCTCAGTACGAAGGTGTAATCTGCACATTTAATTTAATTCTTCAGGCACCTGTGCCCTGAATATTTGTATGCAATGTCTCTGTCAGGCTTGAAGAAGATCTCCAGTTTCTTTGCCTGTGCACAGCTAGGGGACACTGGTGTGTCTGGCAAATGGAGAACCTGATGTATGAAGAAACCACGATAAATTGCTTCCAAACTTCAGCTAATTCATGGCAATTGCAGGCTCAGAGTCAACATTGGCATCCCACTGAGCTAAGGGCAGACAGGACCCTACCCATGATAGGGTCCTCTGGTATTTGGGTGGTATCTGTATTGTCCTGCCTTTTTAAAGCTCCAGGTGCTGTGGTCAAGATGATATTTGTAATTGTGAGCTTTTGTTAAAAAGAAAGATAGTAATTTAAAAGCAATAGTCTTCAATATGACAATGAGAAGCTTGAAAATGTAAACTCTAAGTGTCCTCAAACCATGAGGAAGCAGAGGCAATTCTTTTTTTTTTGTATTTAGAATTTTTAATCCAGCTTTTGGTGGATGCCCCACAATTGGCTCAGTTTCCCTCAGTTGTTTGGCTTTCCCTGAACATGTCCTGTCACTGGAGAGCAGTTTCCAACTTTGTTTCTCTTACCAATGATGCTGGAGTAGGAGGATTTGCCACCGTGAAACTTATGTTTGCACTGGCCATACCCTGGCTTCTTTTTGTGGTTCTTTCCCTCCTTCTTGCTAAATACTTCAGTTTCTACTGCCAGAAATAAGAAGAAGGGCTGAATGAAAGGTTTTGGTGTGAGTGAAAAGCAAAGCTGTGCCATGACAAAGGGAGCAGAGCTGGGAAGTGTGTGGGGGAAATGGAGAGGAGGAGGAAGCTGAGACATCAGGAAGCAGTGTAGGTCTCAAATACTTTGTGTCATTGAACCTCCAGCACTTCCAAGACAGAGGTCTCTCTACGTTCTAAACAACGTTATTTTTGCCTGGTTACTATAAACCAATAAACAGGAAATGTGTTATACTAATAAACAAAGGACAGGAAAAAGGAAACACCACTGATCAAACAGGAACACAGCCTGGGAACACAAAAAGGAACAAACAAGAGTTACGTTTTGCTCCATTCTTGCTCAGGACTGCGAACGATAATGAGTATGACCAAGCACAGGACAAAAAAAAAGAGACAGTTGTGGTAGGACAGAAACGAAGATCAACATTATCAGGGACAGTCTAGTTGATTGCTAGGAGGGAGGATGGGAGCTCCTGACCTTGTGCAAATTCTAGCTGCTGTTCTAGCTCTCACACAGGGGAGTTTTACAAGCTTGTCTGTATATGAAACGCTAACTACCCAACCTTAGATCAGCCTCTTGTCTTCTGCACGCATATTTGTATCAATAAAATGAAGCTGTACTAGGATAAAAACATGTACAATACTCAGCAGTTGCCAAAGTTAGACTATGCTTGTGTTGGATGGAAAGCAAAAATATCACTTCTTTCATTTACATATACATACATTATATATATATGTATGTATGTATTTCTTTGTGCAGGAACATCCTATTTGCAGCATTTCTAGGATTCACTTCAAGGCTAGGGAGTACCCTTTAATGCATCCTTTGTTCCTTTTTAGTATGTTTGTTCTGTGTTTTAGCCACAAAACCCTCTTTAGAAAACAGAATGTTTCTGTAGAGAAACTTTAGTCAAAAATAAGTCATAGGGTTCTTCTAAATATTGGTCCATGTGGTTCATCCTGAAAACAAATCTACTTTCTTGGAAATAGTCCGCTACAAGTTTTATTCCATTATGATTCACTTAAAAATCCCATGGCTTTATGCTACACCTAAAATATAAAGGTGAATAATGGAGAATCATTTGGATTTACATTATACAAACAGGGTATTCATAAACAAAATGGTTAAATGAGAAAATGAGCTTCCAATAGATTAAAAACGCTCAGCATTTGAAACACCTGATTGCTCTTCATTAATGGTCTAGATAATGAGGCAGACCGTACCATCAGCAAGTTTGCAGATGGTACAATACCAGGAGGAGTGGTTGGTATACCAAATGGTTTTGGTGCCGCTCTGGGGGACCTGGACAGGATGGAGAAATGAGCCAGCAGGAAACATACAAAGTTCAAAAAAAGGAAATGCAAGGTCCTGTCCGTGGGAACAAATAACCCCATGTACCAGTACATTTGGACACTGACAAACTGGAAAGCAGGCCCTAGGGATCATGGTGGACTTAAGCCAGGAATGTGGTGGTACCCACTGAAAGGACAATGGGTACACACTGAAATGCAAGAAATTCCATCTAAATAGAAGAAAAAAAAATTACTACAAGGGTGATCAAACACTGGCACAGGTTTCCCAGAGAGTTGTGGAGTCTCCACACTTGGTGATATCCAAAAGCTGGTACTGAGCAATGTCCTGATCCACCTACTTTAACTGACCCTTCTTTGAGCAAGGGACGGTTGGACTTGATGATTATGAGGCCCCTTCAGAAGTCAGCTATTTTGTGATTGTGTAAAATTCACAGTGAAGGAGAAGGAGAATATGCTGCAGCACACCTCTGACTATCTCATTTCTGAAGGTACCCAAAAAGCCAGGAGGTGATGCTGAGGAGTGCTCTGGGGGTGACTGGAGAGCTGACATTAACAGGGTCCAAGCAGTTGAAGAGGTTTCCTTCACCAGACATCCCAGATGGCTGACGCAGGAGGAAGCTGGTGAGGAAAATTATGGGTTCTCGAATCAGAGCAAAGAAGTGCAGGTGGAGTCTCAGCAGGCTGTTTGGAGGGGTTACATGCTGGCATAGTAGCTGGTAGGGATGTGGCTGGCTCCCACTGTGTGCCTGAGTCCTCTTAGGGCTCCTGAATGAGTACACAGTTGTGTCTAGTCCAGATGGATGCTCAGCTTCATGTTGAAAACAGTCGTGGGTCTGGCAGGACTGCTTTCTCATTCAGCTCCGGCTAAATTGGCTTTAGTCGATCACCCAATTCCTACCAACCATGACAAAATGATTTAGATACTTCTCAAGCAGTACAGCAAGGATAGCTTTGGAAAGTACTACTCAGCATAAGGATGGCAGAAGGATGGGCTGAAGCAAACCCACCCCCCTTGTCTGTTTGGGTCCTTGTGCCAGAAAATAGTGCCACAGAGGTCTAGAGGAAAGAGACAGGGTTAATACTCACCACCTGCATGACCTTCCTACATGGTAGCATAAAGAAAGGAGCGAGACACTGCTCCACCAGAGACCAGGGTATCTATGGTTTCCGGCCTAATGGTCCTAAGCAGTGGACCGTCTGTAGCTAAGACCTATATTCCTCCATCAGAGAGGCACATGTGTGCTTACTTTATCATGCTCAGGATAGAGGAATTGCTTTGCTTCTCTGCCAGGAGCCTAACTCTGATGGGCTGTGAGCACACTTATCTAGATCTGCATCTTCCCTGCAAATGCCCCAGCTTCAGTCAACAGACATGCCTGTGACTGGCGTTAGAAGTTGACTTCAGGTGTTGACCAGCTTCAGCACAATTAAGTTTTTTCCCTCACCACTGAGTGTTCTGTTTGCCATACTGGTTTGTGTTTCCAATACAAATAAAAGCTATTGGAAGAGCGGCAGGTGTGGAGAAATGAGAGGTTCAGAGCAGACAGCCCTTCCTACATGACAGATCATTCCATCAGACAAAGGGCCCAGTCAGACTGAGCAAATACAGTGTAATTAAGCTGATTTAGCTTAATTTGTGTTTTAAAGAAAAGAACCTATAGTTGTATAATGGCCCATCCTTGCTAAAATGGCAGCAACAGGCCAAATCTCAAGTTTTGCCTGTATGAAACCATGCTGAGGTCATGAGCAGAAACGCAAAGTGTGGTGGGCAGGACAGATCTCTCATGCCAGTCACACAAAATACCACACACGGTCCATCATAAGGGTATCAGCACATATCGCCAAATCTGGCTGTGGTTTAAAATGCTGGTAATTACGATTCTAAGACATACGAGCCAGTTCTACAGTTTTAATAAAGGGGCACATTTTCCTTCAGGCCATAGTTTCAGTCCCTGCCTTACCTGCTAAAACTTCTGATACTTTAGGTTTTTTGCACACACAAAGTGCTGAACACAAGTATGAAGAATTTCGGTAATAATTGTAGCGCATTCACACTGGCCAAGCGCACAGCAAGCAAATCCTTTATGCAGCCCATTTTCCCTCGGTGTCATTAGTAAAACTATTTAAAGTTTAATCAGTCTTTTCAGCTCTTGGCTAGGCTCTCATTCTGATGTCTCTAATGAAAAATTCCCCAAAGAAGTTTTGTGCCACTAAGCTGATACAGGTGCAATACACCAGCTCGCTAAAGCAAATTATTCTGACTTTGAAAACCTGAGATATTTATTCTTAAATCCAAATCCTAAAACCTTTAAAAAACAAACGTTAGAAGTAGAAACCTGGGAGTAAAGCAAACCAAAGCCTGCATAAGTTAGTCTTGGCAAAATTAGTAAAGAAAACAGAACAAAACAAAATACTACCAAGAAAAGGGGAAACCCATGAGCATAAAGGCACTCACAGTGTAATTTTTTCAAAGTGGATTTTCACCAAAAGCTCTACATAAACTGAAAACTTCATTAAAACAGAAAGCTTGAAAGGCTTTAGAGGACACAGCTCTTGTTTATTATGTGAGACTGTGATGTCAGTCCAGGTGGATGCTGTAATGGAAATACATTATTTCAGTCCAGTTTCTTTGAAGATTAACCCAACGTCACAAACTAATCATGTCATATAAAACCCGCCGGCAATGCCAGGGTTGCTTCCATCTAGAAAGCCCTAAGACTGTATGGACAGTACATAAACTGGCCTACAAACCATTTGTGGGATAGTGTCTCAGTAAATGTAGGTTAAAACCTTTTGATGCTTATTATCAACAGTTTGGAAAAGAGAAAAGGCCAAGTTTTCCAGAAACATGCATATGGCTGTCTTGAGCATGAAAAATAGTCTCCAGGCGTGAATGGGATCAGTATTTGCACAAACAAATACCTGAGGGCATGGGACCTGCATGTCAGTCCTGAGCTTGGTGCACACGTCATAGACGATGCAGGCCATTTAAAAAGCAAAGCAAACAGCATCTTTTGAGGAAATATACCATAACCCCAAAGTGGAGAAAAGGAGAGAGGGGAATTCACCTGAGACCGGAAACTCTCCCACATACCTCTCAGCTTGACAAGATTTTTATGAGAGGCTAAAGAGAAGCTCCTCCCAGGAGGTCCCACAACAGGCGTAAACCAGCCTCCAGGATCCAAACGTCTCAAGAACTTGTTCGCATAAGCCTGTTACCGAAGAAGATAAAGCAGAAGGAAAGAAAGTCTTGATGTTGACTCGAAAAAAGGAGCATTTTCTTTCACGACAGAAGAGTTGTGATATGGTACCTCTGGCTATTGCTGCCTGGGAAAACCAGTGTGAGGAAATTCTCTATTAACGTCATCTGTTGTAACTTCACCTGGGTTGAAGGAATTGCAATGGACCTTTATTGAGGTTCGGTCACTATGCACTTAGAGAACTCTCACACACATGTACACACAAGAGGCTGCATTTACTCATTATGGTGTATGCACCACAGCCACAACATACTTGCATTAAATGCAATCTTTTGCTAAGGAAGTCCTTATTGCAACAATGCAGGAAGGAAACCTCTCTCTTGCAAAGCATGCATTTCACATTTCTAACTCAGGCTGGGAGGAGTTCTCTGTGTTCCCTCAGCTCTCCCTGCCCATGTTTCCTCCCATGTCCTGTACTAACAACTAATAGCACGGAGTGGATCCACTGCTCCCAACTGGTACCTTGTCAGACACTTTGTAAGTAGTCCTGGCAGTCTCCTGGAAGTTGAAAGCTGATTTTGAAACTAGTGGAAACTGCTGAGGGCCAGGGCAAGGCTCTGGGGCAGCTGGGGACCTAACTCCATGCTGGACGAATGCATTTACATCTCAATATTCATCACCATGTGCCTTTTCCTCAGCACAGGTACCAAAAGGAAGCCTGTTCCTTTTCATGAGAGCAGGGTATTGTCTTTCTTTTTCCCCTTATGAGAAGGGTGCTGGTTATTCTACATATCTGAAGGTTCCTTTTTTTTTTTCTGGGTGGGGGGCTGGTAGGGGCAGACTCTCTTCCAGAGGTTGCACTGGTTAGGTGAATCAGGAAGAAACCCCTTTGCTGAAAACACCGTGTGTCAGACCCTAAGACAGCAGGGACAGAAAATGCTTGGAGAAGCAGACCTGCAGGTTATGTAGATCTGCTAATAGCTTGTTTAAGAAGGGCTTAAACATGTAACGGAGTGGACATATCCACACCTCAGTAGTTACAACACACTGAGAGGCAGTCACTTAGGCAGGCAGACAACTCTAATGCCTCCCCAGGCAGGTGCACTGGAAAAGCCGCTTGGGGATTTGAGGGCTGAATTCAGGTAGCTGAAGTGGCAGGTGGAGGCCTCAGCCCCTTTGGGACTGATCCTCTCATGGTTGCTAAAAGTGCGGTAAGGAACTGAAATTTTTCTGCATGAGTGAAAAAGAAAATGTGCTGTTAGTGGGAAAACAGCGGTTACAAGTCTGTGGCTTCTGCAAGGCAGGCATTGTCACAAGCCCAGGCAGCAGTACCCACCACAACATTTAGGGGCAGCTTTATTCAGTTCTGCCACTGCACTCTGGTGTGCATGAGCTCTCTGAGGACTTAAGTGGCAGCGTGGAGTACATTCAGACTTTAGCTAGCCCCCAGAATACCCAACTCTACAGGTAGTTTCCTGATCCAGTTTTTCTCATCACTGCGGGACTCTTTGGCTCTGGTTTGTAAAAGCTAGCATCAGAGGAATCCATGCATTAGCTTTTTGTTCTGAATTTGTTGGATTTCTTTCTGCCAACAGCAGCCCCCTTGCAGAGTGTCAAGTTTGTTAAATGCTTGTCTAAACCTGCTTCCACCTAAGTAAGTTACCACTGAATTTTGCTGACTGAGCGTTTTTCCTGATCTATGAGGAGCCCAGGTTTGCCAGGTGGCTGGAACTGACCAAGACAGCCTGGGTTTCCAAGTGAGTTCTGACTGCCTGGGCCATGGGCCACTCCAAAGTAGTAAGTAAGTCACTCTTAGGCTGAAGTAGACAGCAGATGACATAACAATGTCACAAAGCAATGCTTCGTTTTGGGTTCAAACAGATTTATGAAGTCCAGGGACACACAGTACGAGCGATACTAAAAGCACAAATCGTGAGGTCTTTGATAATTCAACAGCTTTGTAAGTCTAATGACTGTTGATAGGTTGTACAGACATACCTCAAACTCTGTTTATAATTAGAAATGTTCATAGAGTTATAGAAGACATAGGTTGGTTAGGAGCTTCAAAGACCACATGTAAAAGGATACACATTTGAAAGCCAAATGCCATAAGCCGTATGCTCACTGTGCATATCATTCTCAACTGTGCATATCACACTCAAATCATCTACTCTGGAGATAAGTAGCAAACACATCTGCAGTTCAAAGCCAAAGGTGAAATTGCTGTAATTTTTAAGTGATTTTTTTTATGATTTATTAATAAGGAATAGTGGCAGAATGTCACTTGTGTCATGGCCAGCATAGGGTGTGAGTTGAGGGGAGAGAATGCTGGGCACAGCATATCTCTACTCAGAAGCTCTTTGAGTCTCAAGAGAGCCTGAGAGCTCTCCTTCCCCCAAAATGTTAATTCATTTGTTGCTACTAACATAAATTGATTTTTCTCAGCATCTCATAGTAGCAGGTATGCATTTGCTATTACATCTTTGTTAGACATTTAATAGCTGCTGTCCTTATTTTTTTCTCAAGATACTTCTTTTAACAGAAAGCAAATAGAGTTTTTAAAATGTTCTCTATGTTTCTGCTGCCATTTTTGTGTTTCCTTTCTTTGAACTAAACGCTCATTCCTGACCAGTTCTGTTTCCCAGTGTCCCATCTGAACATCATTACACTGTGGATGTATTAAATCGCCTTCTGATCACCTCAGAAGGAGGGGCTAGTAACATACTACTTTCTTTAGCTTACACTTATTCAAAGAAAAATAATATATTACCTTAGGGACCAATTTCTTTTATTCTGGTTATTGATGCTATCATCTGATACCCATCAACGAAGCTTTTTATTCTGTGTATCTCCATGTACAATACAATTGTCTGGAGAATCTGTGTGAGCTTTTAAAAAGAATTAAAACAATATACAACCTCCTTTATATGTGATAGCAAGTGAAAGCCTTGTACGATGAAAGCATCAGTATTGGTTTGGTTTAGTTCCCAGATGTGCATATTCCACTTCTCCCGTAACTCTCTAAAGACCTCAGGCTGGCTCAGTATAGCAAGTCTATTAAAACCTCCCCAGTGACATCCATGTTACAGCAGAACTGCTTGGCTGCTAGAAGCATTCTGGAGTTTGAATGCTTTCCTGTTTGCGTACTAAAAAATGCTGGATGCTAGGCTGTGACATCACCTTGTCCCAAATCCTATCTTTATGGTTTCAACTGCTCTACTTTCCCATGCTTTTAAGCTCCTCTAGCAGCTTGTTGGTTCAGTGGAGAGATTTTTGACTCTTTCGTCCAAAGTCTAACAAGCAAACACTGGTGATGTAGCATGAGTGGAGGGCTTTATTTGCTGAAGCCTGCCTCTCAGGGGGAGTTTATTGGCATATTTGAAGAGCTGAGGATGTTTTTGTAGTGTAGAAGCCAAGTTGACTGTGATAAGACCCTGTGGGGAGTAACACCACGGTATTTTCTGTGTTTGGTTAAACTCTTATATCTGGGAGTAATTTAAAATGATGATTAGATTTTATTGAAGGCTTGTGATTCCATTTTCTCAAGAGGCCTATGAACATGAGGGTATTCTCAGTCTGTGAACAACCCATACTCCAGTGCCAGCCTTTAAAACAAACAAACAAAAAAATCTGCAAAATCTCTTCTAAGATAATTGTTGAGATTCCAAGGCCTTATAAATTAATTAGCTGTCCAAAAGGAAGAGAGGGTGAAGTCTAGGAGAGTCACTGACCTCCCGTAATAGTGCACTGAGCAAGCCAGAGGCTGATCCAAGGCTTACTAAACACAGTGAAGGGACTTCTTTCACTCCAACAGGAGTCTAAGGACTCTGCTACATCAAATGGCACCATGAAATATAGAGAATTGTGACTCAAACTTTATGACATATTACAGTCATTCAGTCACTTTGGATATTTGGAAGGAATATCAGCTTTATGGACAAGAACAACAGAGAGCTGGAATTTTATATATGTAAAACTATCTTGTTCTAAAGTTGTGGAATAGTAGAAGTTAGCAGTGGCAATCATCAGCTGAATAGTAATAGGATTCTTGCTTTTGTTTGTCCAGCCAAGACAAATGGAAAGAGCCCACAAATATATAGGGAAAAATTACTTCCAAATTCCTGTCTTGCCTTGCTGAACAAATGTTTATACGGAATGTACAACAGCAGCATGTTGTGCAGACCAACCACTGTGCTGTGACTGCCACCCTGTTAAAACTTGCTGTTCAATATATAGCTAGCATCCAGCTAAGAAATACTGACCCTGAACATTATTTCTGTTGGAAACAACCTTCAATGTCTGTGTCATTTGCATGACTAACCCAGGCTGTTTTCTTGTGACAGAGCAAAGAGTCAGAGAAAACTCTCTACTTTCTGAAGTAGAGAGTGTAATCTTGTACATACGTTAACTATGAAAACACAAATTAGACAGCCTCCATAGTACTTCACT